AAATATTAAAAGATAAAAAATTATTATTTTTAAATTTAAATTAAAAATGAAAAAAATTAAGCTACAAATTTTAATAATTAAATTAATGAATATTAATTAATATATTAAATTAAAAAGTATGCCAGTTATTTTCTTAATAAAACAACGCTTAGTTGGGTTTTATAATCCATGTACTAGTGTGCTGAATGTGTTATGTAAAGTTATGTTGTTGTGCACTTTTTTATTTTATGTATACTACTAGAAAACATTAAATTATACCATCTAAAATATCATCGACGTGAGAAGTTTCGTAAGTAATTGACCTCATTATCGATAAGAATACTATCTGTACATAATAAAACAGTAAAAGTAAGATTAATTTATACTATTTAATTTTCATAAGATAATTTCATCGGTGAAATTAAAAAACACTGACAAGGCACTAGTTTGAAAATATTCTAATAACTATCTTAAGATGTGAATCTCATTGGTAAATTATAAACAACCAACTCCACGTCGGTGAGCTAAAATCTTTTGAAATTGGACTGGTCAAATGCTATTCATTTGGAGATGTGAAACTCGTCGGTAAAATTTACAAATAACTATCACCTTGGTAAAATTGATCAATTACAGTCAAACATACCATTAGAGATGTGAGGCTTGTCGGTAAAAGATTCCAAAGTGAATCACGTCGGTGAGACTGCAAGGCCTGCTGCAAAGCCGCTGCACCTAGTCTCCCCTCCCTCCACCAACTTTAATCTCGTCGATAAGTGGAACCATAATCCCTGAAACCCCCCTTGCCTCTCATCTCCGTTGAACCACCTTTCCTTCTCTCATTTTTAGTTTTCTCTTCCAGCTACAGTTCTTTTCTTCATTTTTTCCAACAAGGCAAGCAGCGAGAAATTCAACTTTTTTTTTTTCACAATCGATAGATCAAGTAGTGGTAAGTGAGGGTTGAGCGATATCACCATTTGTTATCTATTTTTGTGTTATATCCAAATAGGTTATGCATATATATTTTGTATATATATATATATATATATATTTTATAGCTTAGGCATCAAGGATTATGAATAATTTATTTGATATTAATATTGTTAGATTTCTTATTTTTGGTAAATTTTATGGATGTTTGTCAATAATTTTTTTGGCAATTTTCCTGTAAAATTTTGGTGATCAATAGTGAAATTTCAGTAATATGATAATTGGCCTTATTTTTTTGTTTTATTTATTTTAAGTTGTTTTATGTTAATTTTAAATGCAATTTATATAATTTTATATAAAAAATTAATAATTTAATAATTATTTTATATGTTAATATTTTGTCTTGTGGATCTTCTTTATACAATAAGTTTTATTTTTCACTTTATTGTTATAATTATATAGTTAAATATTTATATTTAACAAAGTATTCATCAGTGATTGTCCAAAAATAGACAAAATTGCAATTTTAGTCACAAATTTCAATAT